TTTTTCCAAAATTTTTTTTTTTTTTTTTTTTTTTTTTTTGACGTATTATAGTGTCCAAAAAACTTTTGGGAAAAATTTTACTCGACATAGAACTCTGCGCTTGAAAGTACCGCAGAATGCCAGGAAATGATGAAGCGAAAAAAAGCTATCTTTTATGTAATGCTAGAGGCGGCACATTAGAAGCCCTGGAGACCACAATCAATCAAGAAGAAGTGACGTAACGTACAGTTTCTTAGCGGTAGTTCCGTGATTGATCCAGTGGCTGATGCAACTGCACTTAGCTTGTGAATGGAGATATTGAAATAACGGCCATTATTATCGACCACTTCGAAGAATTGCTAATTTTTTTTGTTACTATATGCAACGAAAAAAGCGAAATTTTTCTATAAACTTGGAGTGGTCACTGCCGAGCAACTTCTAGGAACAAATGAAGAAAGGCTTGCGAAAACAAAGGCTTTGGGAAAGGGCTACAAGTCATTACAGTTTTCAAAATTTAAACCATTAATTAAGCACTTTGGTTTGACACCAATGAAATAACTTTATTTGCTTAAGTTCATTGGCGAATCAAAGATGTAATTTCAATTCGTAAGCGAAGCAGAAAATGCGGAGGTTAAAAGTTATTACAAGTTTCTTCGTTGCAGTACAACGCACATTTGCGAATTAGCTATAGTAGTAAAAAATTCAACAACTTCTAAGGGTATCAATTTTCGGTTTTAACCCCGGAAGTTGTCTAGCCATCTCATAAAGACAGTTTGTCAAGCCTTTTGTAAGAACCGTAATGAGTAGTAATAATCTGATCTCCAAAGTTTATTTTTTAAATTTTTACAAGCAACCGATGCTATTCGGCAGCCTTTCGTACGGTTCCAAATTTTTGTCAAAAATGTTTTTTTATAATTCAGGTCATCCGCTGATCATTGCTTTTCAGCTGTTAAAAGTAGGAGAACCTACTCGCGCACGTCAGCAGTCCGCGGTGTCAAAGGTTTAATGTTGTCGTTGAAACCGTTTTTTTACTTTAGACAACTTCTTGCTTAATAGTTTTTCGCATAAGACGGAACTACTTTCACCTTGGGACTGGAAATCATGGACCTTATAACAACAATTAACACTTCAGTTCCTCTCAGTGGCCATTTTATCGCATTCGTTGCTCACGCACTTGATAATAATGAACTCACAGTGAAAAGAACAGTAGAACACATTTGATTTCTGAAGATTTTGATGAGAACTACAAATTTAATAACGCAAGAAAAAAATTTAAAAGAGAAGAAAATAAACGAATAAGGCTGACTTTGATTCAAGTTGACGAATCCGTTGAAAAGTTTTAAAACAGACAGATGAAGGTTTCAAAAATAAGTTTACTGATAAATTAATCTATTTATTTATTTATTTATTTACTTTTTCGGAATCTGGAACGATTAATTAATAACAACACAAATACATTAGGAAAAAGCGTTAGCAAATGTATTATTTCAGCAGTAATTACCAGGCAGCTTCCAATTCTTAAAACTTAGCAACTAATTAAGTTTTTCCAAACAGTTTAAACAACTAGAGCCTTTATCGAGGCTTAACAACCTCAGAAGTGGAAATATGCTAAATTTTTTCAAAAACAATCATCCTCAAAATAAAAAGTAACAATAAAAGAAACAAAGACATGATATTCAACTCTTATAATTGATGGAGCAAAAAATCTTCAAAGACCTTGGCAATGTGAAATAAAATTGCAGCAAAAATTGAAAAGAAAAAAATTTTAAAATAACTATAAAAGCTTCAAAAAAGGAAAAGGCTTCTTAAATCTCAACGAACTCTTAGCTTTACGACTTCGGCTAACAATTCTTCAGAAATAAAAATATGTATTCATAAAGTACCTGTTAAATACTCAACATCAGTTGATACTTAGCTTTTTTTTTTCAATAAAAAATAAGTTCAGTTAGGAGTGATAAAAAACATGTTGTTAAATTCAGTTTCTAGAAGCCCATTACAGTTAAGGAATACCACAAATATGTGAAAACAAGAAAGTGATGGCAAGAATAGTGCATTTGTAGACGATTTTATAGACAATTTAATAAATATAAGCATAAAATTCTGATATGCAAAACAAGGTTCCCGTTTTTGCAGACTTCGTAACAGAAACAGAAATACGAACAAAAAAGATGTATAATATTTGATTAAATAGTATTTGGCAGACGATTCTGTGACGAAGGATTTACCGATGATGACTGAGCTTCCTCCTCAACAATACAGCTGGTTTCATCACCATTCCTGACAAAGGAAACTCGCTTCAGTGGAAAATCAGGTTTTCCTCGTCCTTAAAAACGTTATTCTTTTGAGTTATAGATTATGATAACATGTGAAATTTTTTGCTAGCAAAATGTCGTAAAAGCAGAAATTAAAAAAAAAAAAGACAAATATGCACAAAAAACTTGAGCATATCAGCTTAAACATCAAAACATTATAGTAAAAAACATAATCGAATGTTTTATAAAAGATATTATGTTTTAGCTTCAAAAACAAGGCATTATGTTAAATAAAAGTGCAAGAAAATTATTTTTTTAAAGTCATAAATGAAAATACTTGTTAATTCATTAATACTCATTGAATATATGATAAAGTCCAATTTTTTATCAAAAAGAAATATCAGTAAACCGTCTATCAATATGACTATGGTTTTGAACACATCTCACTGTCCTATAAAATAGGTTTTGATAAACGCTGCGAAGTAATTTTTCAAACCATAGTGCAACAGTTTTAAAAAAAAACCTCCCATTTAGACTTCTACCAGCAAATACAACGCTGTATTTTGCTCACAACTGTTACAAAATACTTCATTTGTAGCGAAACTCATTGGAAGTTCTGCTAAATAGCACACAAAAATGCACGTTTTTGGATTAACAACTTTTTTGTGCTTGAACTTGAAAATGGTCAAAAAAGAATTATCTTATACTTGGTTCTAACACCTTCAAAAGCAGTGATAAAATTGCTAATTTGAAAAAATGAACTGCTGGTTTCCGAACTGCAAGAAAAATTGTAAAAAGTGGTACGCTACTTAAAGTGGGCAATTTGTAATGATGTTAATTGTTTGTTAAAGCGTTACAATAAGGCGAATTAAAGTGGAAGATATTGTTTTGAATTTTTGTACCTATTTTGAAGGGGCAACATTGAAGCAGATGATTCCTAAAGCTGTGATGCTGATAAAAATCATGCTCTGATGGTGTCGGACTTAGAGGCGGAGTTGGCTTCATCCCTTCATCAAAAGAGAAGTCTGTTTCACCAAAATCTCTTTCCTGAAGATTACTCTACGAATAAAAAACGCTGTTTTTAGTTGTTATCAGATAAAGTTTGTGAGATTCACTCAAAAACATTTATGTAGATCAAACTTCTAACCGTAGCTCGTTCTAAGCACTGAAGCAAATGATGATGCTGTATTTCGAAGATATCTTCATCGCGAAGCTCCTCTAAGGGCAGTAATCCTTGTTCAAATGCCTGCACTCGCATTTCATGTGCCTTCTTTTTACTAAACATCGCCTGTCCGCTAGCATTTTTGACTATTCGAATTCGCGCTAGCCGAGCTTTCTGAAAAAATCAGTCTGTCATTCACTTTTGCATGTTAATAAAAAGACAGCAAATAATTTCCAACATTAAAATTTGACAAACCTTCTGTGCTTTTCGCTTATCTGCTCTTTGATTCTGATGATAAATTCGAGAAAAATTACTTACAATGACCTGAAACAAAATTGTTAGATATTATCCTTTGATTATTTAATAAGACTTTGAATGATATTAAGATTGTACGTGATACAAAATGCAAAACTCCCTCTTTGTTGACCAACGATTAATGGCTTCTAAAAACTTTTATACTTGGGCAAAAATGAAAAGAGAAAAAAGATGTTAGTGAATAATCTGAACCGCAGTCTTAGCTGTTGTCCCTTCTCCTGCATTTCATCACTTTTGACCACAGAACCACTGACAAGAAACCAAACAAATGCAAAAGTTAATTTAAGCAGTAATTTAGCACGCATTTTACTAGTTCTTTTACTTTTTAGTAAACTTAGAAAATCTTTCATCATACAGTCAGAGACTTTTCAAGCAGTTCTTTAAGAGACAAAGTAAGATTCGACCTTCTTCTGAACAACATTCACCCAGACACTTTTGAAGTTGTTTCTGAGTCTTAGTTTAATGATCTGTATCGCTGTCTCTATCCTGAGCGGTTCATTGAACAATACACGAAGTAAACGCGCAGCTAATAATTTGAGTTCTTTTCCTCTCTTATTGTCCAGTAACATTAGTTCCGGCAATGAACAAAGTTATCAGTTCCAACTAATTTATGTTTTTGCACCATTCCACCATAAAGTGCATGCAAATTTGGCCGCCCCGTCAAATTAAGTAAACCCATGAAACCTAAGAGTAACTCGATTCACCTTTTAACTTACTTCAGTGAGTGTGGTGTTTATTTACAAAACAAAGAGAACCCTTGAAATCTAAGTGAAACTCAAATTACCTTTCAGCTTATCTTAGTAAGAACGATGTTTGTTTAACGAACACTAGAACATTATGAAAAGAACTGCACAGAGCCATTAAAAATTTTCGTCCAAGACTTTTACTTTAATAAGGTTTATCGTTTTCTCCCTTTTCTTATATAAGGAACCATAGAGAACGAAAGTAGATATCAAAAGAGAGATTTTGATGGTCTCATGAAAGAGCTTTTCTCTAATAAAAAGAAATAAGAAGATCACTTGTATCTGGCGGTCTGGATGATCAAAGTGCAGTGTAAATATCCTTATAAAAGAATAAAGCTTTAAATCTTAAACCGTCAACTACAAAGAAATTTACCTAATTCAAGTCCTTTTACTTCCTCTCAATATACACTGAGCCCAAACTGCAGTTTAATTTTCTTATGCAAAACAATTTATTAACACGGCAATATAATCTAAGGTAAAAGAGTTATAAACTTCAAGCTGCATCAACACAATTTTTGAGATCTTAAAGCAGTGTACAGTGATAAAAAATTTTTTCCTAAAAACAGTCTGCAAGTCGGAACTGCTTCTTTAATGAAAACCTATGCCGTGCCAAGATTTTGAAGCTTACAGGAACAGGAAGAGCGATGACGAGGACACCACTCAACGAGCAAACGCCACCAACAATTTTTCCCATTACAGTTGCCGGTACCATGTCACCATATCCCAATGTCGTCATCTGTAAATACCTTTCATGTAGCAAAAAAGTTTTTTGCATAGTTTTTAACTTCAAAATTTCTTTTAGATGAAATATGGAACTTACAGTAACAATGGTATACCAAAATGCAGCCGGAATTGACGTAAATTTTGTGTCGGCGACTTTTTTCTCAGCGTAATACATAATTGTTGCAAATATGATAATAGCCATGGCTAACGAAAAAACCAAAAAACCAAGTTCACTAGCACATGACTTTAATGTATAACCAAGAATACGTAAGCCTTGTGAATGTCGTGAAAATTTAAAGATACGAAAAACTCGCTGAAATTTGTATTTACGGTTATTTGAGATATAAGTGAAAGTAACACAAAATTAGAAGAAAAAACCACGAAAAAAAAAGAAAAGAAGATAAAGCAACTTACAAATACTCGTAATGTAACAAAAGCGCCAGAAACATCCTTATTACTACTTAAACCAAGGCTAATATAGTAGGGTAATATTGCAACAACATCAATAACACTCATAATTGAGCGTAAAAAACGACACCGATCTGGTGCGGCAAATAATCGGGCCATATATTCAATTGTAAAAATTATAACACATGCTGTATCAAGAACAAAAAACTGAAAAAAAAAAGTAACATCATGCAACTTTTCTTGTATTAAAAAAATCATTTTTAATTTACAAAAAGGAAAAAAAATTGGGCATAATTTTTGATACTGCAATCTTATCAATGCTGTTAAAGTTGTTCTTAGGCAACTTGTCAAGTATTTTTTTACTAATAATAAACTTTCAGTGCATTAATTACCTGTTTTTCGTATAAATCACCGCATGATACAGTTTTATTGCTGGCTAAATATTTACATGGAATAGTTTCAATGAGATTGCACAAAACAGATACTGCAATAAAAAATCCCGTAACATAATAAAATACAAGTGCCACAGATGATGTATGTGGGTTTTCAAATGCAGCCCACATTTTTTGCTAAAAAAACAACAATTTATAATCATTTTAACAACAGTATCGGTAAGAAGAAAAATCAAAAGATGGAAACGAGATGGTAAATACTGTTAACAACAGCTCTGACTTTTTTATTTAATTATTCTTACCTAAATTTAATATACAGTTATCCAGAAATTGATTTGTTGATAAGCAAGAAAAAGGATCGACAGAAATTTTTCTTTTTTCATTATTTTTTTTTATAAACAAACATTTCTCTTAAATCTGCATAATGACTTTCGTCAGTGCTTGGTTAGGATATTTTGCGCTGTTAACTAACAGTTGGCTCTGATACCTTCTGCTCTTCTCCTTCCTCATCACCTTCTTTTTCGTTTCTTTTACAGTTTCATAATACATAGTGACTAACTAAGCCAATAATTTAATCATTGCTGCTTTCAGTTAAATGCCATATTTAAATTTAAAAAAAATCTAGTTCTAGTTTACTTTGTGTAAGTAAATTGAGAAAATCTAACACCGAAAACTGCTATTCTTTATCTTATTTGTTAAATTAAACAAAGAACAATAAGCATAAAACAAAATTTAAAAAAAAAAAAAAGAGCAAAATTTTCAACTATTTTGTAGAACAACGATAAACTAGCTTAAAAATTGTAAAAGGTATAGTATTTGTCTATAAATACAGATTTAAATAGAATTCTGTGCAGTTAAATTTCTTGTGAGTTGTGCGGCGATTTTTTATGTTGTTACTGCTGCACCTGTTATTACTGCTAGAACTGTTCATTATCGTTTTCTTAATGTTCATGAAACTGCATTTCCATGATCATAGTATGCCAGAAAAAAAAAAAACGATGTGACATTGACGTAATAAAGAAGAAACAAAAAATTAAATGAATTTTTTTAAACCGTTCCTTGTTTCGCATCTTTCACTCAAAACAAAGTTTTTTTGTTTTGATCTGAAAGCGCAGAGTCTCATTTAAGACAAAAATTTCTGTTACTTCTTTTGCAAGCTTTTTCCTTCTTCTCGTTTTTGCAATTGAACAATTTTTCCAGCCAAAAGCTGTTTGATAAACCAAAAAGTTGTAAGGATTTTGGGGACGACCACAAACAAAAATACGCACTCTTAAGCACAGCACCTATATATATATATATATATATATATATATATATATATATAATATATATATATATATATATATATATATATATATATATAAACATATATATATATATATATATATATATATATATATATAAATGCGCTGTAAATCAAATATAAAAAAGCTGTGAAATGATTTAATATTATAACAACATTTATTTATTCCTAAAGAAAATTAAGATCAAAGAAAAACTGATGCTCTAGCGCTCTAAATGTTTGAATTAGCCAAATTAATTTTTCTTGCTATAAAAGATGCAGTAAGACAACGTCTGAAAAAAATTCAGTTTAAAAATTTACAACCACTACCGTAATTTTAATATGCAATCAACTTTCCCCTTTACATAAATATATATATACAGTTAATTTATAGCATTATATTTTCTTTAAAAAATCTCGTTTTACGAGATAAAAAAAATAACACGCTTTTGGTTTAGTGTTTTCTTCAGATGAATTCGATGTATTAAAATTACTTAGGCATTAACAGATCTTTTGCTTTCCAATTTAGAAAACAATATTTATAGATATTAGAAATATGATGTCTGTTTGTCACAATCGTTTATATCTTTTGAAAGAGTCATAACTTTTATCATAGAAGCTTTTACGGTTTCCTTTTTGCAGATTTGACTTTAATCCGGTCTAAACTATTATAGCTGTTTAACATTCGTTACTGAAATACTCTCTCTGATACAGTAATGCAGTCATTCACTAGTCACCTTTCTTATTCACTACTGTAGCTGCCAAATATTAGTTGTGTAAAGTACAGTAACAATGTGTCAAAGCTGGCGACTTGCCAAGAAATTTCAAAAAATACGGTACAGTCTTTTGAAGGTTTAGTCAAATTTAGTGGCTCTTCGCTTTAACACTAATAATGCCAAAAAACTATAAAATTATAAGTGTATAAAAGTGTCAAAATTTAAAGCAAGCTTGTTTCCCTCTGCTCATTCTCGTTGAGGCAGTCAAAAAATCTTAGTTTGGTTGTCAGGAAGGAGCGGCTTTTGAGAAAGGCAAAAAGATAACAAGTCTAAAAAGATTTTTTATCTTTTCACTTGCCTCGGTAAAAATGTGTTAAAGATGGAGAAGGAAATTATCTGGATTAGAAATGTTTAATGTGGAACTCGTCTCATCATTTAGTTGTATTTCTTTCTCGCTTTTTTTTTTAAACCTCTAAGCTATGCCGTGAAAAAGTTTGTAATAAGTGGAATAATTTAAAGTTTCAACTAAAAAAATGTGAAGTTTTTGTAAAATCAAAAATATCGCAAAAAAAAAGTAAAGATATTGTTTGTCAAAATTCTTTTTTGGTTGAACGGGGGACTTTTAGGGCATAAAAGGAATCTTTTAAAAGACAGTACTAATAAATAAAAAAAAATAAACAGTTTATAACAAAATTTGGTTTTTTATTAAATAAAAAATTTTTTATTGTTTTCTGTTGTTATCCATCAAACGTTTTCGGTTTGTAAAAAAGAAAAAGAAAAGAGAAAAGTTTTTTTTGTTAGTCATTGAATGAAATTAAAAATTGTGTATGTGGGAAGGTTTTATCACTTTTTCAAAAACGAATCATTTTTTTTGAGCAAAAAATCCTAAAAAAAGATATCTAAGTATGTTTTAAAAAAATAAAATTGAAAAGAAGAATTTATGTCCTTTTTTATTTTAGGAATAAAAATTTTTTAAGAATTAGTTTTCTCTCACATTATATGTACTGATTTGGATTGAACATAAATGGCAATAATCATAAGAAAAAATATGATTTTTTTTTTTCATTTATATATATATATAATTTTTTTGAGTAGCCGTGATTTTTCTCCTTAGAGATTTCTTCAAAAACTTTTTAAAAAAAGATTCTACGCATTTTACACTGCTCCAAATCATTCAGCAGTGACAACAACAACGACAGCAAACACCAAACCCTGAATGGTTGCAGTTCTTAAGAGAAGTGGAAAAAAAAAGATCACTCTATTCAGAAAATGTAATTTAATAATGTTAACTTAAGTTTGAAAAAGCCACTACCAGAAAAAAATGAAAAATAATCTCACGAAAAGTATAAAAATAAGTGTACTGTATCTTTTTGCTTGGGATTTACTCCCATTTAGTTGCATCAGTTCACAACAAAAACACGTGTTTGCTGCAACTGATGCAAACACTTTTTGCGTCTGAGGAAGACTGGAAATGTAGGCAACAGAAACATGATGAAAGGAACGAGACGTTAAAGCATACGGAAACCGGAAACGGATGGGTATGGAGTGCCGAATAAAAGCAAACCGCCAGCGATCAGGACAAATAGAGGTATGGAAAGAACGGAACCTCATTTTTGGATAAGAGTTCCACAAAAAAAGAAAACGTAAAAGCAGATGGAGGGGAAACAAAAAAAAGAATAATGGTGAAAAATGAAAGTGTTGGAAAAACAAAGCTCAATTCTTCTTCAATTTTTTTTCGCTTTTAGGGTGTAAAAATTGACAAGTTTTTATTTACATCGTCTTAGGTTTTTTCTTTTTCCATTCCCGTCCTCGCTCTTCTTCTCCCTATTTATTTGAACCACAACTGTTGCGGCTTTTGAATATTAAGTTACAGCTTAAATTTAGAACCAGCTTATAGCGCCATCAAATCATTTTTCTTCTGCCCCGCTAAAATAGTACAAGTAAAAAACAAAAGTGAAAGCTGAAAAAAACTTTCAGTTCACAGCAACACTTATTCAATTGAAAAAAAATAAAAAAAAAACCCTTTTATCTTTTTTGTTCGCCTCCTTTTCTCTTCTTCTAAAAAAATTACATTGCAAGATTATTGCTAATTTTTGCAGTTTTACTGTCACTTTAGAACTGCACAGACGTTAATTGTATATTTCAGATCAACTGTTTAGTTTGCCTAGAAAAAAAAATTTCTATCACTTCATTTTTACATCTTCTTTTGCCTTCTCTTCTCGCTCTCGCCTCACTCTGAAAAACTTTCAAAAATTAAACTGCTTGGTCGGCATCTCGTGAACTTTCTATAATCCTCAAAATTTTAGTTGACAGGTTAAAAATAGCTTAGACTATCAAAACTGTGCCGAGATATGTTGTCGGAATTTTGCATTGAGCGATAGAAAGCTGCCAATTAGTACTTCAAATTTCAACTGATAAGCTTGAGAAAGGAAAAAAGAAAAGTCTGTCTGTTGAGCACCTTAAATTTTGTTCTCTTTCTCTTTTTTTTTTTGTTCAACTGAGTGAATGTTGCTGTTATAAAACCAAACCAAAACTAAACCTTTTTGCCATTTTTTTTTTTTTTGTCTCTTCTTCGCTTATTTAACTTACCAAGTGTCTGAACTAATTTTGCAGCTACCAGAACTGGAAAAACAAAAGAAGCGAAGAACGTGAAAGAAAACAGAAAAATAATTAAAACAAAAGACCTTCTGTTGTCAGAAAAGCGAGAAAACAAATAAAGAAGAAGAAACTCTTCTATCTTGTCCGCATCTTAATCCAGTGTTTATTTCCCTCTTGCTTAACAAGAGAAAATTGGTAAAGAAACTAAGGGTTCACAAAAACTTTTTCTTTCTAGTGTATGCAGTTGATAAGGTTTTTTTTCTCAAGCAGATATAGGGAATTCACCCAGCAATTTTTCATTAATAAACAATAAATTAGAAATTTACCAAGCATCCTCTTCAAGGCCACCCCCGCCTCGATTTTCTCCCATTCAAACTTTTACTTTTTTTGGGCGCTCATAATTCAGCAAACCCATAAATAAACACAGTTGCCAATTTTCAGAAACAAATAGTCACTTGTTGGTCCGCCCTATTTCCAACTTTCTCCTACTGTTTCATTTTCCTTTTCACATTTTTTCCATTTCACTTGCTACAACCAAAAAAAAGGCAACTGTCCGTCGACTAATCAGTATGCCAAGCACTAAAATATGGTTTTTTCAATCTAAAACCAAAGAAAGAAAAAAAAATAAGACAAAAAATAATGAAGAACAAAAAACATCGTTCTGTAATTGTTTGCTCACAGCACCAATTTTCACTAAATTTTTTGATAA